ACTTTCCTCAGCCCTCATCTCCCAGTCCCATCTCCTCCCTGTCAACCCTTGTCTCATGTAGGGACCTTCACTATCCGGCTGCTGCAGACCACCACCTTCCAAAACACCTCATTTGTGGACATGGAGGGGCTAGGCTTGCTAGAAGACATCGAACTTGGTTCTCTTGATAAACACACATGGTCCATCCACTTCTGCCAGCCCTGGGTACGCCCAGCCCTGCCCCGAGCTGACTGGGACACCATTGAAAACCTGCTTAAGATCTATTTGCAGCAGTTCAACCATCTGATCAATGAAGGGGCCGTGCAAAGGGACATCCCCTGTGAGTACTCAGTCTTCACTGCACCCCCTTTCTGAAAAGCAGCTGGGAAGTGGGGAAGGATCTGATAGTGCTGGTGCTGTATAGGAGACACTGACCACGTCTGCAGGAAGGCAATCCCAGCCCCTCACACAACCTCTCTCTCCTCTTTGCCCCACCAGACCCCTTTGTTGTTCAGTGCACAGCAGGCTGCGTGTTGTACCCGAACAGAACCTCCCGGGCCTTTGGCTATGTGGGTTACAATGGTCAGGATTTCCTCAGCTTCGACACAAAGAATATCACCTGGACCCTCTCCCAGGACACCGAGTTGTCACGGTATGTCCAGTCATTTCTCCAGAACTACACTGCCTTGAGTGAGCTGGTGGAAATTCTCTTCAATGATACTTGTGTCGATGACATGGAGGTGCTCCTGCACTATGGAAGGGCAGCTCTGGAGAGACAAGGTGAGACACCTGACCCTGTACCCCAAAGCCCCCCCACACTGGGGCCCAGCCATGCCCCATGAGTGCTTACTCCATCCCTTTGCTCTAATCCCCAGAGCTGCCTGTGGCCAGGGTCTTCGCCCGCACCCCCAGCCCAGACCAGCTGCTGCTTGTTTGCCATGTCACCGGCTTCTATCCCCGTCCCATCAGTGTGGCCTGGCTGCAGGATGGCCAAGAGGTGCCTCCAGGCCCAGCGCTCAACACCAGCACCATCCTGCCCAACGCTGACCTCACCTACCAGCTCCGCAGCGTCCTGGCTGTGGCCCCCCATGATGGGCACAGCTATGTCTGCCGTGTGCGCCATCACAGCCTGGGCACCCGCAGCCTTCTCATCCCATGGGGTAGGTGCCACCCATGGGGGATGGGGGACAGGGATCCTGAGCCATCCTGCCCCACAAGATGGAGCAAATCCCAGAAAGTTCATGGCAGCTTCTCCTTATGTTTCCCAGGGAACTCAGAAGTGGTGCTGATCACAGCTCTCATGGCCGGGCTGCTTGCTGCCATGGCTGTGGCTGCCATGTTGGTGCTTTGGGTGTGGAGACAAAGGTCAGTCCCTGTCTGCCCGAGCGGCAGAAAGAGGAGGGAAAGAAATGTCATGGGGATTTCTGTACTGAGCAGCAAAGCTCTTGCTTGGGCCCTGGCAGATGCTGTCTGCACTCCTACAATGTCTCTGCCAGGGAGCATCTAGCATCCCTCTCATTTCAGAAAGCACCAGCAGATGGAGGAATCAGAGTCCGAGAACTCCATCCTGAGCAAAGAAGCTTAGCTCAGAAGAGAGCCAACAGTCTTCATTCCCGCCCACTGACTACACAATAACAAGAACTACCTTCTTCTGCTTCACCTAGGTTCTGAGCATTTCCAATTTCAAGACAAACTTGATTCAGAGATGCACAAGAGAAACCTGGCAAGAGAAATCTGAGCTTTTGACTCATCTGAATTTTCTAAACAGATGCAAGTGTGCATCTGCAACCTCCTCACTTGTTACACATTATCATCTCTTAGCTTGTGGCACTGGCCAGTCCACCCACTGAAGATGTAGGGCACCTCAGTGCTCAGTGGGAAATTCTCATGGTTCTGCTTCAGTAACACTTTTGTCAGAAGGTGGAAAGCTATCCGCTCCTACTGTCACTTTCTGTTTTTTTTCTTTTCCCTAAAAATTACCTTTATTAACCATATTCCAGAAACATTTGTACTGCGACTGAACTGTTCCACACAGACAGAACCTAACCAGAAATGTCTTTACAAAGCACTGAAATTCTGCTGTAATGTGTGGGAGCTGCATATGCATATGAAATGAAAATAAATCATTCATATTTTCACTAAGATAATGTGCCTTTCCTCAGCAGTTGAATGAGCTTGGAGAGGTTTTGATCAGCCATGTATACAAGCTGAAACACTGCTGAATTATTGGCACTAATTGCAGGAAGCACCAAGGCATGGGGGAGAAACAGTACAAGTGTGCCTATGCATAGATTAACATGCTCTCACATACTGTATGGAAATAAGTAATTGTGCACGTGGAGGTAAAGTGGCCCCAAGGCTCCCAATAAAGGAGAAAAAAGAAGCCCATGTCCCATGAAAGATAGCAGAGTTCACACACACACAGCAAGTCATGTAGTTCATGCTCCAAATCAACTTGAACATGTAGCTTCAAAAGGTTTGCTTTCACCGGACAACTTCCTGCAGTTTCCCAGGATAAGTCCAGCTATGGCAAGCCAGAAAACCTGGCTGGCTTGTGGCCATATCCACACCACAAATCCAATGGTGTTTGTTCTCCCTTGGACAGAGCCTGGAAACCACAATGCTGGGGTAAGGACTGCATTTCCCTAGCAGCCAGAGTCACCTGCTGGCATCACAGGGCTCAAGGATCTCACTGCAAGAGGAGAGACACCAAGCCTCTCCCAACCGCTGCTGACTTGGGACAGGCAGATGAAATGCTTAGGTGTGGGCATGCCTCCCTGAAGCCTTGGCATCCACAGGGAAAATGGGGCAATTCCTCTCCCAAGCAGAGTGCAACATCCTGCAGCACTCACAGTACCAGGCAGACCTGGAGATCAGGTGCAGCCAGTGAGGAAACTTGTTGAGGAAAGTTGTTCATGTGAATGACCTCCCAAGAGACCCTACAGTACCACACCCACAAACACCTTGTACCAGGGGAGTTTCTGCAAGTGTTTGCTCACATCCCTTAAGAGACCTCACAATAACACACCCCACCCAGGCATTTTTAGGGGGTTCTTAAGGCACTTCATCACAGCCCAGTGCAGTGGTCGCCGCTGCTCACCCACCCACCCAGTATGACACCCAGAGGCACTGCTTCCCTGTCCACTCCACTACAACTCACTCAGGCACAGCTTGGGGGGCGGGGGGAGGGGGGGGCTACAGACTTCACCTCAGGGGAGATTGCAAGGACCAATGTCACCTGTGGGGTCTTTGGGGACCACTGGCCACATTAGAACTTCAAAATCCTATAGTGCTCTAGGGCAGGGGGAAAGTGAGGACCAGTAATCACATGAGAGGACTGTAAAGACCAATGTCACCAGAGGAAACTGTGGGGACCAGTGGTAACCTGGGGGTGACTCTGAGGACCATGGTCACTTGAGAGGACTCTGAGGACCAATGGTCTGTGTGGACCAACAGTCCTCTGTCTCCTTGGGTCATTTTCAGACCAGAAAAGTGACAAAATGAAGGAAGAAATTGTGAGCAAAAAAGGAAATGAAAAAAACCTCCAAACATGAGAAGTACATTCAATAGAGAAGTGGAAGAGCTAAAGCAGAACTTTAAAGCAGACTCACTGAGGCAGTGGGAAACATTTGGAGGAATTTCCAAGGGGGCTGAACACATTGTGACCACCCACGCAAGCCAGATGCCTGCTCCTGTCCTATGAGCAACTTGGACAACTCACAGGAGGGAGGGCTGCACAGGACAAAGGGCTGGGAATGGCCTCTCAGCTGCTCAGCAAGAAGTGATCAGCCGTCATCTAAGGGGAGACCATGGGGATAAGTGATCACCTCACAGGACTGCAGAGACAAAAGCCCCCTTGTCTCTTCCCTCCCTGGCTGCCCCATGGCTGCGCTTTGCCATCCTGACAGCCAAACAGTCTCCTCTGGGTTTAGGACTAGTGAGAGGGATGTGGACCTTGTGGTGGCATAGCTGGACATCCCCTGCATCATGCTGCTGGGGAAGTTGGTGCCATTTCTGGGCCTACCAGGCTGCCACAGCATCCCTACTTCTCTCTGAGACAACTCCATGAAAAACAAAAGTATTCAGTGTCATAGGACGCTACCAAGGTGCACCCGTCAAACTTGCCCTTGCTTGTGGTTTGGCTCTGCCTTTACTCCCAGTGCAGGCACTAACCAATAAAAGGGGAAGAGAAACTGTATGTTGAAGGGAGGAGTTGCAGAGGAGCAGTCGACTGGGGACATTGTGGGGAGAGGCTGACTCTGGTCACTCCATGATCCCTCCAGCACTGGACACTGTTGCCAGTGGGGACAGAGCAGGGGGATGGCTCCCACTATTTTCACCATGTGTTCCTGTGCACAAGGGGCTCTTGGGGAGGGGGAACAGATTCCTCATCAAAGCTGGTTGGAAGGAAAGGGGAGTTGCTAGGCCCATCCCCAGGTATTTAGAGCAGAGCTTGGGCTCCCCAGCAGTGTCCTACAGCTTTGGTCTAGATGGAACAGCTTATTATCTCCTCCCCAGAATTAGGCAAGTGATGCAGGAGCAGCCTGAGCTGGAGGTGCCAGGAGTGGGAGGGGGTATCCCTTCTCCCTGTGTAGGGGTTGAGAAGACAGCAACCATCTTTCTCCAGTCAGATCTGAAATCCAAAAGCCATTCCCACCTGCATTGGTGCTGATTCATCCCACAAGAACAGGGATAGGACAATGTAATATTGGTTGGAAGGGGGAGTTAGGAAAACCCAGCTTAGATGCTTGAATATCTTTTTTCCTAGTGCTGTTTCCTGGCTCTGTCTTTCCCTGCCTTCTCCTTCTGGCTGGGCTTTTCCCAGCCCCAGCCTGTCAGGACACTTCATGCTCAAGACCTTATTTCAGCTTCTATCCATCACACACCATCCCAGCCCTCAACTTGAGATGTCTGGGCCCCTCCCTTGATTGATTCGCCAATTGGTAGAGAGCCACCGCAGTGGCTGCTGGGCTGGGTTGAAAGCTTAGGTTCCCACAAGTTCTTCCTCCTCCCATAGTTTCTGCAGCATTGCTGCGTGCACCATGCAGCTCCCTCACCTCCTCCTCTTCCTCTTTCTCCTGATCCTCCTCCCTGGGATGTGGGCAGATTCGGAGGGTAAGTGGGAAACCTGGCTCACGCCAATTGCTCTTACCATTCCCCCCCCCCCCCCCCCCCCCCCCCCCTTGCCCTGTCAGAGGACTCCACAAGTTCTGCTCAGGGGAGGCATGGCCAGGTTACTGTGCCATATGGGGGCATGGATGATTCCCAGCATCAGAGGGCCACTTCCCATTGTGCACCACTCAAACATGCTTTGTCCCTGCCCCCCTCCCTGTTCCTGCCTCACCACCTCCAGCACAGAGCCTTGGGCATACAAGCAGAAGAGCAACAGTGGCCCCCAGCCAGGCCTTGGGTGTTGAGTTACCCTGCAAGATGACCTTCCCATGCATGGGAGCCCATGGGTGCCAGGCAGATCTCAGCTCCACATGATGCTGGGGGCCTCTTCCAGCAGCCTCTTGTTAGGGAGCTGCACCTGCCAGAGGGTTTTTCGGCACTGCTGTCACACAGAGAGTTTTACCACAACCCTGTGAGACCTTATGCTTCCGGGGCAGGCAGCATCAGACACAGAAAGTCAGGACTGATCTCTAGGCTGGGCTAGTTTCTTGGCTCTATCAGGGAGTCCTAAACCTGGACAAAATATCCTTTCCTATGAACCATCCTCCATATCCTCTGTACTGTGTCCAGCTCTTTGGGAGATAAATGTCCTGGCACAGGTGCTTCTCCTGGGGGGAAACATCACCCCAAACGACCAGCAAGGTGTCCCTTTATCTGTTCTGCACAGTCAGACAGCAGCTGTGGCCAGGAGGGAGGAATGAAAGGGAGGTGACAAAATGCCTAAAATCTCTGCAGGAAACAACCACTTTGCTGAAAGTAAAATAGAGAAGGAAAAAGAGCAGTGAAGTCAGAGGAAGTTCAGACAGGATGAAGAGCATAAAATCATAGAGGCACCGGGTGATTTGGGGTGAAAAGGCCATTTAGTCCAACCCCTCTGCCATGAGCAGGGACACCTTCCCTGCTCAGAGCCCCAACAACCTGGCCTTGAATGTATCCAGGGATGGGACATCCATCATATGTCTGGGTAACATGTGTGTCTGGGTAACCAGTGTCTCACTACCCCTCACTTTTAAAAATTTATTTCCTACTATCTAGTCTGGAGCCCCTGTTCCCCCTCCAGCACCTCCACTTCACATTTCCCCTTATAGCACCTCCACTCATCTCCTTCCTGCACCCTTTTCTTTCTCCATCATCTCTCCTAGCAGAGCCACAGGTTATCCAGTACCTCCTGACTAGCGTCTTTGCCAACATCAGCTCTGCTGAGGTGTCATGTGTGGCAGTTGTAGGGGATATAGCCATCTTAGCACTGGATCCAGACAACTGGAGCATCCACTTCCACTGGCCCTGGGTCAGCCAGGCTGCAGCTGAAGACAATGGGGAAAAGATTATGTCGCAGTACAAAATTGCTCTGCGCAATATGATCCGATTTGTGCATGACACAGTTCAGCAGACAGAACAGCACTGTGAGTACAGAAATGAGCCCAGCCAGAGCCCTAGTCTTTCTCCCCAGGCTTTGGCTGTGGCCTCCTCCCCACCAGGATGGCATCTGGGAGGGTGGGTCTCACGGGTGCAACAGCTCCTGAAACACTGCAGCTGCTGGGACATATGACTAGCAGGAGTGGGTAGGGCAGCAGACCAAAAATACGCCTTGGGGCTTCTGCCATCTGGCATAAAGAACCCCTCTATATATCAGGGAGCTGCCACCAAATTTACTGGAGCTGAAGGATTGACACAGAAAAGATCATAAAAGAGAAAACTGGGAGCAAATACTTTGGGGGGCAGAATACCTTTTAAGCAAGCACCCCACAGTGGTATCCACTCCATTCTTCCAAGGGATCTGAGGGCTTGCAGGGTGTCTGGGGTCTCCTGAAGCATGGCCCTACCCTCTACTGCTCATTGCACCCTGCTTTCCACTGCATCCCTGTATGTACTCTCAGACACATCCCACCTCATGCCACCCACATTTCACACACTCATGGGACCTCTCCATTGGCTTTGCCGTTGACAGACCCATTGGTGGTTCAGTTCCGTGCAGGCTGTGTGCTGTACCCCAATACAACGAGCCAGGGCTTCCTGAATGTTGGCTGGGACGGCAGAGACCTCACAGCTTTTCAGGTAGATAAACAGGGCTGGGAGGCCCAGCAGCCATCCCAGCTGGCAGAACTGGTCAGCAAGAGCCTCAACAGGAATAAGTCTCTCAGAATACTCTTGGAGTATCTTCTCTCTATCTGGATATGCCAGAGCAACTTCCTCACTCTGAAGAGGTATGGGAAGGAAATTCTAGAGAGACAAGGTGAGACCACCCTGACTCTGCCACAGCCACCCCAAAGCCCCCCCACACTGGGGCCCAGCCATGCCCCATGAGTGCTTACTCCATCCCTTTGCTCTAAATCCCCAGAGCTGCCTGTGGCCAGGGTCTTCACCCGCACCCCCAGCCCAGACCAGCTGCTGCTTGTTTGCCATGTCACCGGCTTCTATCCCCGTCCCATCAGTGTGGCCTGGCTGCAGGATGGCCAAGAGGTGCCTCCAGGCCCAGCGCTCAACACCAGCACCATCCTGCCCAACGCTGACCTCACCTACCAGCTCCGCAGCGTCCTGGCTGTGGCCCCCCATGATGGGCACAGCTATGTCTGCCGTGTGCGCCATCACAGCCTGGGCACCCGCAGCCTTCTCATCCCATGGGGTAGGTGCCACCAATGGGGGATGGGGGTGCAGGCTGCAGATAGCAGCCACTGGCCGTGTGAGGGGCAGCTCCTGGCTGGTGCTGCCACCCTCACACAGTTGCCCTCTTCTCTCCCTGTCCCAGAAAACCGCAGCACAGCTCCAACCATCAGCATCATCATTGCGGTACTGCTTCTTGTGGCCACAGCCTTTGCTGGGGGATTTTGGTGGTGGAAGTGCAGGTGAGGTCTCCCTCCCATCACCTGCAGTAACATTTATGGGCATATAGGTTGGTCCAGGGATTGCAGCAGCTCTGTAGGGGTGAACTCCCTGACTGTCAACCACAGCTCACACATACCCTTTGCAGGAAAGGTAACGGGGCTACATGGGAGACCCAGGAATTTGTCATTTGAGGCCTGATTGCCCACACAGCAACAGCTGCTTGCTCTCCATTCTTACTTCATGTCCCACCCCTGACTCATCAGCACTGACACGGTTTTTTCCTGGAAAACCACCGCATTAAACAGCTACAAACTTCCTCTGATACATATGCCTCCTGTGTGTGTCACCCTTCTTCCCCCTCAGGAGATTTTCTCAGGAAACCCCTCAGCACTCTACAGAGTCTCCATATTGCAGCCAGAGAATCTTTCTTTTCCTGGGCTCTGGTTAGTCTCCACCTGGCATGTCAGGAGAAGCCTGTCCTCTGGCAGCCTCTCCCACATCTCTCCGTGACCGGTGCCTGTTCCTGACAGGGCAGTTACAGCCCAAGTCCAAACCCTGTGGTGTTGCTAGTAAGACGTGGGATGGAGCAGGCCACAAATCAGGGAGAGATGGAGAGATGTGAGCTCTTTCACTGGGGAGAGAAGGGAAGGGAGGAACCAAGTAACCCCGCTGACATCCCTGACACATTTTGAGCACATTGAACTGCTCCACCTCCAGGGCTGATCTCACCCTCATTCCAGAATGGTTTTAGATTAGGATCTCCTCCACATCTGACTCCTGCCCCCAAGCTTGCCTTCTGTCTCTGTAAAAGCTGGAAGGATGGGGGATTGTCACCCTTCCACTATGCCTGACAGCCATGAAAGAGCCATGTTGAGGCTCTGGGGGACTCTGAGCAACACATCCCACAGCAAGATGTGGAATGAGGATTGTCATCAGTTCATTTTGTATTGTCCATTGCTTCTTCCTCTCACTCTATACCAGTGTGGAGTCCCACTCACAGGAGACAGTCTTCCACAAATGTCTCCATCATAAGTCCTTTCCATGGGCTGCAGTTCTTCACAAACTGCTCCAGCATGGGTCCTTTCTATGATGTCACTCCTTTAGGAACGGGCTGCTCCAGTGTGGATTCCCCTCAGGGTCACAGGTTCTTCCAGGAACCTGCTCCAGGACAGTGTCTCCATAGGGTCACAGTCTCTCTCAGGCACACCCACCTTCTATGGCATTGGACTCCTCCAAATGCTGCAGGTGGATCTCTGCAGGTGTGGACCTTCATGGGCTGCTACAAGACAGCTCCTTCCCAAGGGTCTTCACCGCAGGCTGCTTGGGCACCATCTCTGCTCAGTTGCCTGCAGCCAGCAGGGTCCCTGCCGTACTGTGCCCAAGTGAACTGCCTATGCTGACCTGTACTGCACCTGACATCACCTGGTGCCCGGTAGATCCCTGGTGCCTCTGCCCCACCCACCTTACGCTTCCATTGGCTATGCCACAGCCCATTCACCAATGCCATTCGTGCTCCTCCTACTTCACCAGTCTCCAGGTGGGCGTGGGGCAAGCACAGTGGGGTGATGGGGCTGACCTGGACCTCCAGTCCCTGCACTCGGCCCTATCCAAAGCCAGGTGTGCGCTTCCAAGCACTTGCTGTGGCTTCCCACCGATTCCGCATGTCCCCACATCCAGCCCTCAGTCATGCCCAGCACTGAAGAGCCCGGGATGAGCCCAAGGCATTTCTCGCCTCAGCTCCAGATTTCAAGATAAAGGCAAAAAAACAAGAAGATGTTTGCAATTGTCAGGCCTGCCTAAAAACCCAAAACCATGCTCCATCACTTGTCTTGGGGAGCCAGAGAGACATGACATGGTGAAATAATCCAGCCACTTGGTCCAGAATGATTACAGCACTGTGGACCTCATTGCCATCACATCGTTTATCTCTTTCTCTCTTTCTGTATGCACATATCTATGTGTATGAATACAAAGTGTGTGTATAAAATTCCTGAAAATTTAAACTTCCCAATTTCATACCAAAGCAATAAAATCTTCCTGTTTGGGTGGGTTATCCTGCAATTCCCACTTCTGATGAGAAACATGTCTTGCTAGTGGGTATGCCAGGCAGAAAACAAGGTACTATCATCTTTGGGGACTGACACCATCAAAACTACTTCTAAGGAGCTCCAGGGTAAAGCCTTTATTGTAAAATAAATTAATTTATGGATATAATAAACTGAAGAGATTAAAGCTTACCTGATCTGTAAACCTTTTATCCCTCTTTCAAACATGATCTCTTGTTGTATTGTGTTTTGATTATTGCATTCTCAAATTCCGTATACCTCAGTTTAACAAATAGTTTATTCCTGTACCCCCTCCTTCCACTCAGATGGATTGCCCTTGTCAGTCCTCCTCAGGTCTGCCCCCTTATTCAGTATAAGTGCTGAGTCATTCCTTCATCCCTTCCCTGGTGCCTTGTCCATCACCCAGCGTCCCATCACAACCCTCTGGAAGCTTCCACCAAGGGTATTGAGTGATTGGGCAAGGATCAGGGGTCCCTCCTCTGACCCTCTCTGATATGTTGGTATTCCTGTCCTTTTCCCGAGAGACACTCCCAAAGTTTTCCTCACTGATTGTTGGGCAATTCCCACCCCTTTCCCCTCCCCTGTTTATAAGATGGTGTCAAGTCCCTCTCAGGGTTCTCGTCTGTTGGGTTGCCCTGAAGGCAGTTGGTGCTCATATGAGCTCCCAATAAACTTTTGGATTACAAACCCCAGAGGAGAGTCAGCCTCCTTTCTTTGGCTATTGCTGTCCGCCTCTCCTTCGGAGGCTCTCCCAGAAACCTGAGGGAACACACAGGAGTGCCCTCTGCCGCCATCATGGCTGTCTAGCTGGGTCACTCAGGTGGACTCTTGAGTGGATACGACAACAATCTCTGAATGCTTTCAAAACCTTCTCATCAGGACCAGTTTATTCGCAGCTGGCTATAAACCAGGAACAAACTTCTCAGGGGCCAGAAGGCACCTCTGAACGGATATTTAAACTCTGATCCAGCTATACTCTACAGCCCTACTGATGACCTTGAATAAGAACAAGGCTACTCACTAATAATCAGGGTTTCTTATGCCATTGGTTTCTCCCAGATGGTCACTAATCCCCAGAAAATGCTTTCCCGTGTAAGTTGTTAATGCCTAATTAACCCCACAATGAGGGGGAGGGGTTAATTAGATGTCACAACGGTGACATGTCTGCTATAGATACAAGTTTTCTATCCTTCCTTAAAGGCACTGAAGACCCCCATATTTTCCAATCAAGGCACACACTTTCTAAGCAGCAGCCTATCCAGTTACTGGGAAATAAGATCCATGTGGAGTATACATACGTTAGATGACACTTCATACATCTGCAGAAAATGCATTAGCCATTAAAAACCTCCTGATTCCAGGACTGCATATACATTCTAGATCCCTCTCTCAATGTTCCAGTGGAAGTTACAATGCAGATGAAGACTGTCAGCTTTGGTAACCTTTCTTGGAATAAATGTTCTTTCAAGACTTCCTTCAGCTCATCCAAGCCAAGCAGCAAAGAGCAATCATGACAAAGTGGTTAATAAATTACTTTATTTTCACTCTTAGTGAAAAGTCTTACTTCCTGCATCCATAACTGTTGAAAATTACCAAATCCTTCTGGTTATGGCACACAACACAGGTTTCACATCATCTTTTCTCAGGTCTGTGGAGGGATGGGATATTTGAGCCCCATTTTAGAGAGAAGGAGCTAATGCAAATGGAGAGGGGTTAATCTCCTCCCTCATTTTGCATACTCTGGTCAAATAACCTGATATGATTTTTCAGAGCCAATGGAAGGATGTTAGGTGACCCCTCCACTACTCCTCATATGGGAGAGATACCACGTGCATCTCTGCCAGCAAGGTGTTAAGCTTTTCACCTGATGCAAGTTTCTCCAGACATGCTTACTAAACTTTTCTGTCTTCGGCAATTTCTCCAATTCTTCAGACATTCTTCAGCAATGCCTACCTTCTTACTGGTCTGCAAAAAATAATTACCACCTTTCCTTCCATGCTTTCCACAGCAGTTCAGCATAGAGGAAAGTGCATTTGCATCCACAATTTATGACAGAGAAACCTAAATTATTCTTCCTAAGGTACTTCCTCTTTGGAGCAAACATATTTAGATAAGGAGAGAGAGCCATCTCTCTGTCATTTGTTTTCTACAAATAATCTGAACTTAGTAAATTCTGGCCTGAATTTTGGAAGCGCACCCATCCTTGGCTAATTACACATCTCTTTATTGCCTTCTCTATTTTGTTATTTCTTGTCCTCTTGAAATCTCTCTAAGAGCTGCAAGGCTGATACTTGTTGTTCCCATGAGTTGCCTGCACCATGATCCCAGAACTGAGTGAATGGGAAAGGTTGCAGGAACTGTTTCAGTCATGCTGCAAAATGACTTGTTCCAGATTTTTGCTTCTGTAAACATGCTTCAAATTTCAAATAATCTCAAAATTGGACAAGAGATAACTTCTCTCTAATAGTGACTAAATAGACACTCTTCCTATTTCTCCCACCAGTACAGAAATTGGGGTAAACACGCTAAAAGCATCCAGCAAATTATTAAAGCCAGCTTGACCCCTAACTCCTCTTGTGCTTTTCTGAAAGTAAAATAAGAAGCTCTTAAACTCTATGTTCAAGGCCACAGCAATTTAACAGACAATCATCACACATATCAGAGAAAGAAGGGCCAGGAATCCCTGTGGATCCTATTAATCCTATTTACCATTACTATTTACCTCAGTTTAGCACTTTTTCTGTGGTTGTTTTGTTTTGTGGTTTTTTTTGGTTTTTTTTTTCTGCTCAGCCCACATCAGTAGCATGCTTATTTTACCTGGCAGCAAAAATCACTCAGCCCCATACACCACATCACCTTCCACCAGTTCAGACCCATGTCCATGGTCCATACAACTCTCTTGGAATGTTTCCCTGACTATAGCTTATTTCAGCTTCACTTTGCTACCCACTCACAATGGTCTGTATTGGGATTGCAGTTCTGTGAATCCATGCTTGTGGAAGTGTGTTGTGTCTGATGTTTTAAAGGTATTTTTCCCCAAAACTAAAGGCAGCATCATGTGGAATGGCAGAGAGACAGATGGAGGACAGCAGTTCTGCTATGGAAGCCTGGGACCAAGGGCTCTTGTCACTGGAGGTGACAGTTGCCACACGGAAGTTGCTTTTCATTTCTCATGCTGTTGGCAAGAGCAATCACTGTCTGTGAAGGGAAGCGCAGCATTTCAACTGTCAGTGAGCAAAATTGAAGGCAGTAGCAGCT